ACATTTTTGTCTGTACATAAACAGAATACAAACAGTGCTGTGAAGCCTTAAGAACAGAATCGCAGTATACCACATTCTGTGTCCTGCAGCTGTAGGTGGATGGTGAGTTTTAATTTCACCCCAACAGAAGCTGTCAGCAGTAGCTCCTGCACTGCTCTGATAAACTCTAATCGCTCCCAAAGACTTCTGACAGACGATAGAGCAGATAGAGCAAGAAAAATCTCCAGTTACTTCAGTTTTTTCACCATGTGTACGAAGCATTCATGGAGGGGAAACCTCCTTGACTGACAGATGCCAAAGATAGTGTAATTAAAGTAAAAACCCCAGCTTACACAAGCTGACATTGAAACACTTTCTTCTTCCAGCAACAGTATAACCCAGATCTAGTTATTCCCTTTATAAATCTTTCTGTGAAGATATGGTTGCTTTGTACAAACAATAAGAACAAGAAGAAAATGTTAAAAAATATTTCTGAAGGAGACTATTTCAAAGTGTTCATTATCAACTGGTATCTTTTAGGCTTTCCACATATTTCCTAGCTAATTGGGTGATTTTCAAAGCCTTTCACTCCTGGGGATAAAACTTCTGCACATTATGTGAAAGTAACTGTAACATTTTAAAAGACCAAATATAGCAAGAGACATACAGGTGTAGCAAAGTTTTTTTCCCAATTAAGTATGGTTTTGGAAAATAAACAGATGTTTTTTTTTCGTTTTTCAAAAGGGGAAATGCATTTCACACTTCAACCAAAAGCCTTTCTGTAGATATTAAAGGTCTTCAGTCTAACAGCGATGTGATGGCAGTAAGTTCTATTCCTCTTTTTTAACATAATAAACAGAAATATCATAAACCGGCACCTAAGCTTTAATGCAAATGTTTGTTTGCAAACAACACAAGAACAAAAATAAAGTAATGACTTCACAGTAAAACATAAAAATATAGTCTTTAACATTACGATTAAACGGGTATGAAAGCTGTAATATTATTAGAGTGACATGTTATCTTATTTTATAATATATTATTTAATACATGATATGTCACGAACATTTGTATTAAAATGTTTGACATTTTTAACTGACAAACTTTTTAAATGTAGAAATAAGGGGACATTTTAATGCAGATATTTCTACTTCATGTTCCACTAACTCAATACTCATTGACTTGATGACCACACCTTTATTTTGTCCTTGCACTCTGACCTTAGCATTTCTGGAATCATTCTTTCAACAGTGTGGACATGTCCGTCTAGTTATTCTTTTAGTTACCTTACTGGGAGTCTCCTTCCCTTCACCTCTTCACAGGTGTTCCACAAGCATCAGTACTAGGACCCATTCTTTTTTATTTTTACCTCCCAAATTCTGGGTTCTCTTATTTCTTTCTCCTACTACTACCCTGTTGATGCAGCCCAGATCATTCTTTCATTCTCATCTAATGGCAGTGAAATGTCTTCCTGAATGCCAGTCATCTGCTCTGGGAGCACTGTCATCCTCAAGCTTACATATCTCTTTTGTCACCATATTCGGATTTCTCTTTATTACTATTGCATTCTCATCCTTTCGCACCTCTACCGACACTGGTGTAGTTTTTCATCCACCTTTTCTACTCGTACCATAAAATTTCTTTAACCCTGATATATTTTTTCAAATCAAGATTTGCCCTTTTTAAAGAACATGTTTTAAGTTGGAATATTCCATGCCCATCACTGTTGAAAGGTGTTTCGATTACATAAAACCTTCACTCTGCAGTTAAAAATGACTTTTTAGCGATAGGAATACACAGGAAAATAGGCCTTTAATAGGCATTTGTGTTTGGCCTATACACAACTATTTGTGCAGTAAGTACTGGTAAAAAATAATAACAGCTTACTAAAGATTTTCTCCTTTGTTTACTACTGAGGTGTACACTTTATACATACAATACATACAACACACAGCCGGCAGAGGAATCCTACTCCGATAGACTCCTGAGCAAGACCCTTAACCCCAACTGCTCCAGGGGCGCCGTACAATGGCTGACCCTGCGCTCTGACCCCAGGCTCTCTCCCTGTCTGTGTGTCTCATGGAGAGCAAGCTGGGATATGCGAAAAGATAATTCCTAATGCAAGAAATTGTAAAGGATAAATAAAGTGATGTTATTATTATAATTATTATTATTATTATTAAAGGGGAACTGCACTGCAGTTTTATATTTCGGAGGTTCGAAAGAATCAGCTTTGATGAGTGCATTTCAAACCACATTAAAAGAAAAATGTACACAGTATCTTGTACAGCCTCCAATTAACATCAGAAAATCAGCAAAATTTCCAGGTGTGCGCAGCCATGCGTGCCATGTTCTGTGAATCAGAATGAGGCAACAAAACTTCTGGTGACGTGATGAGGCCTTTTGATTTTGTAAACAAGCAGGCTTGTGAATACATCTCTTTCAATCCAATAGAAATATTGCTCTCGACTTCCAGATGTTTTTGCAAACAAATACTACTTATGTGTTAACTCTGCATGCAGATCATGTTGGAACATTTCTGCGAAGAAATGTCTGCTGCACAACCTGTACTTATTTCCTCGTACATCACATTACATTAGTCATTATGGTAACTAGTGAGCAGGAAGGGCCGCTTCATGTCACAATTTGTGGGAACTTTAATGAGAGTTTGTGACAACAAGGTGACTTACAGCACTTTCATGCAGTTCATGATTTTGTGATTAATTTGAAATTTGTTCATTTTTCTATAACGTCAATGAATTTATTTTGCTATTAAGATTTAATAACCTGTCTGACAAATTGGGAATGAAGTTCCCTTTAACCTAGACAAACAAGAGATCCTCCTTACTGGTTTCCATTATCTTTTTTAAATTTTAACACGAAATGAAACTTGCTTACAACTATCAATTCTAGTAGACTGCTTTTGGGGTACACCCCAGACTTGAGGGCCCTTTGCTTTACTAGTCTCGATCACTACTGAAATACATCCTGTATATGAAGACTGCAGACCACCAATGCAAATCATGGCCTTTCAGCTCTGGAAACATCAGTGCTTAGAACACAAGGTGAGACAAGAAAAGTCATAATGACTCATCTTTTGAATTGCACAGCATCTCCCAGATTTAACCTTCATGCAAGATCTATTTAATTACAATGTATATTTTCTAACAAAGACCACTTGCATCCTTGTTCTCCTGAATAATCCTTAGTCAGGATAGACTTTTATTATTTTGCAGTTATTTACCAAGAAATGGCAGTGGTACATAATTGCTGAATTGCTGCTGTCAGGAGAATCTCAAAGATTAAAGGAATAAGATGTATTCACATTATGCTCTTTTCATTTGTCAAAAACAAATTTTGACAACTATTATTTGATTTGATTTTCTGAAAAGTTCAAGGGTCTATAAATAGAATACAGTACACTCCTGAATGTAGTTTAGGTCACAAAAGGCTGTATTTGCCCAGATTGTACATTTGATAGTAACTGGCTATCAGAATATTTTTTGTTCCATTATTTTCAAAAACATTTTTATAGCATTCGACTTTTTTTAAACTGTTGACCAATACCATTCCTACCATTTATAGAAAATGGTTTCTGATCCAGGCATTTAATAATTGCTCTGTATATAAATAGTTAATCCATTTTAATAACAAAGAATATATATTTTTTCCAAATCTTTTATGACAACTTACACAAAAATCTTAAGTGGATATATTGTCTTCAACTGAAAAATAGTGTACTTTCATTACTTGGATGAAATTTCAAAGCATACTGTGCAGCTTTTGATATGTCAATTACAGCATAAACCATATAGCTAGTCCTTCCCGCATTCAGTTGTGTCTTATTTGGCTACCAGAAGTCATCTAAAAAATCTTGAATGATTTCCATCTTGAGCTGTCCAGGTACTCAGCAAAATCCACAAGACTCCTTTGTGCTGAGACCTTTATTATCTAGTGTTTACATGTTACCTCTGAACATCTGGTCTGATCATTAACCATCAGGGACTTGGTTTTGTGTAATAATGATGACACTCAGATTTATTTGCTGACTAAATGAGACACTACTCTTTTGGTTTCTGGATTTTTCATGTGTCTGACATTAAGATATGGATGCAAGATAGTTTTCTGAAGTGAATCTTGTGACAAGACTTAGCCAATACTTATACTGTAGGTCTGAGCATCAGCTTTGCAAAGTTGGTGACTTCATTGTTGTTATTGAAGATAAAGCCTTGATGAAAGATAGTGGATATCATGAATGTCACAAGGGTACCTTTTTCCATACAGTATGTAGAACAATGCTCAGTTAGGGCCTTTACTCTATTTGCTGCTGAAATATCTCTGCCCTGTTTCACTAGGATGAGACTACTGCATCATCTTACTTTCTGAGGTAACTACTAAGGTGGTAATTAAACTACAATATGGACAGAACTCTGTAGGTTATGAGCCAACTAAACCTATGAAACCTATGCCCTCAGGCCACAGACGTGGGGCGACCTGGTGCTAGGTGGGTCTCAGGACATCCGAATCCCCAATGCTGAGCGAGGAGGAAAGCGTGACCCGGAAATATATAGCCCCAGACCGAGACACACCGAAAGGACAAACAAAGCACAGGAAACTAAGGACAGGACAGACTAGGAGCACCCTCTAGCTATAGAGGGCGTGACAATAACTCCTACCCTATGTACAGTAATTGCACACTGCCTAAGGACTTTGTTTTTCCTGGTCATAGTCCTGAAGAGGAACAGGCTTCACTTGGCAGCAGATTCTTTTCTTGTCCTGCACAACATCTGAGGAAGAGGAACTCGCAACAAGATTTTCTATCTTAATTGGGCTATTTAGTGATGCGTTTTCATTTTCTTTTCACTTCGGTTTGTGTATAGTATGTGTACTGCTGTGAGGGGATTAAGGTTTCTTAAAAAGAGCTCATATATTAAATTTTGTTTTCTTAATATTAATACACACATACTGTATTACAGTATATACTTATGCAGGAGATCATTTAAAGAAATACATTTGCTTACATTGTCTGTCCTGAGTTTCTTGGCCGGACATCCTCCATCTATCGGATGCAGCATGTAATACAAGCGAACTTTATTTGCATGTTTTCGGCTCTAGAAGAAAAAAAGAAGAAAGGATATTCACTGAATAGGTTTTGGAGCAATATCCGAAGAGTTTTTGGAACGCTGAACAAATGAAATGGTTGATGGAAATCAAGGAAGACTAAAGTATTATTTGTTATGAAAACACATTTAAACAAGGTATCCAGACATGTTGTTAAAATAATACCCTGGTTACTTTCTTTCTGGAAATCCATGGATTAAAAATGCAGCAGAGTTTTCATTCCTTATTTTCAAATACAATGTTTGTGGCAGGAACAAACACAGGCTATGAATGAGCTCACTTATTAAAATTTACTGTATTTATCCATTCCATTTTTAGCCACTTCATCAAATACCTGTTCATTGGAGAGCTCAAGGCAGGATACATCCTGGATAGGCCAAATGACCTACTCTCGATTGTAATTGTTCTTATTGTTCTTATGAGTGTAACATTCTCCCAATCTCGTCTTTACCATGATTGTAAGGTGCCCTAAGGATGGTACCATTGATTAGACTGTTTCATACTTTCAAATGTATACACTCGCTCAAGTCTGGATGTGCAATGTGATTCTGGTGGCAGTTATTTTAATTTAGACCTCTTATTTTCCATAGAATCTAGACATAAAATGTTTTCTGATTGTGTTTCTTAACTTGGCACTGTAATACTAAAACACTGAGTTGTACAGCTGATGGATACTTTAAAGTCTCAAACACCACTGTAACCACGTGCAATGGGTTACTGGAATGTGTTGACAAGAGTCGAGTACAGTAACTTACTGAGTAAAGGAGTACTCATTGATAGATTGACAATAGTTAAATAGTGAAAGTGCACTGTGTTAAATGTACTTTAAGAATGTTATGGTCACCTAATAAGAAATTAAAAAAATATCACACAGCTGCTAATTTATCTTTGAAACCTCAGCCAAACTAAATTTGAAGCAATTTTACATCTATGAAAAGGCAGAAAGAATGGGGCATAAGAAATGTGCTATATAACCAAGTGAATACATAAAAACACAACACTTGTCTTAAGGTAATGGACAGAGACACAGCAATCTACAAGGCCATAAAACAAACCTGAAATTGCAGTTTTTTAAGATCAAAAGAATGGACTTCTTAATTTAATACATCTAAAATTGAGCCTATCTTTATAAATTCAAAGCCACAAAGTGATTCAAATGACACTGTCTCAAGCAAAGCAGTATAAGTTAGCATTCAAACGACAGAGACAAGAGACGTGCCGAAGAGTTCATTGCTGTTTAGCACGATTCATATTGTCTTTAAGAGGTGAAGGATTTTTCGCAAATCCTTTTTGACATGCTGCTTTTCAGTGCCCAGCTATGCAATGGGCAGGCTATTTCATGTAAAGAAGGAGATTAATGCTACAGAGTGTACCAACAGGTAGTAACAACAAGGTAGTAATGTTTTAGAAAAGTGCATGTCTCTCTTTTGTGGGACCTTTTTTCCAGACATTGAATGATAGAAGCCATAATGAACTGAGACAACTGTTCATGTACACAAATACTTTTATAAAGGAGAAAAAAACATAACTAGCACCAACAGTAGAACCTTGAACAAATAAAACCCATCAGAATGATTAAAAAAATATATATAGACACTTCCTAATTGTCCACTTGATTTATTTAAGGCTATCCATTTTTCACTCAGTAATCACAAATATGTTTTGTACACAGTGACATTTTACTACACTCCAGATACTTTGTAATTAGATAATTCGTAAATAAGGGTACCACCCTGTATCAAAGGGTTTTACAACTGCAATAAACATACAGAGAGGGAAATCATAAGATTTCAGCACTTACTGTAAATCACTGAATAAACGTACTACAGATAACAGGTGTACTAACTTCTACTTGCCTTAAGGTTCTAACAGGGATTATGGGTACATAGAGATATTAAAACTCTTCTTAAAATAACACATTCCCAAGTCAAATCATTTAAGGCTTGTAGTCACTGTAGGAAAATAAAATACTTGTCAGTTTTCACATGTGTTTTTATATCCTGTGTATTGTGATTAGTATTGGATGCAGTGTATATTTCTGAATGATTTCTAAAATATGCAAACTCATCTGTCTTGGGAACGACAATCATCACCACTGTTCCTGAGAAACACCAGACCTGCATGAAGCATTACACCCGCCACATTGAATGGATTTGTCACAGGGTGAACTTCCAGAATATTCAAACATAGGTGCAGCTGCAAAATTGATGGCAGTTGTTCTAAAACTGGTGCATTTTCATCAGCCATTGTTTGAGGGTGACACATGAAATGTAAATTAACATATACCGTAATACTTTTCAATTCTAGCATATGTAAAGTGTTCAAAAGTCCCATTTAAGTAAAATAACAGCCTTCACAAGCCCAATATGATCCAGGAAATAAGAGAAATGAGTTTGTTCGGAGCACAAAAATCTTGAAAAGGAAAAATGTTTTTGGAGTTCAGTGACTCAAAAATGCATGCCGGCAATTCTTTGAGATTGATTCAAGTTGCTAATGATAGGTGTGGCAAGAAAAATTAGTGAAAGCTTTGAACTTGAAACTTTCACTTGGAAATGTACATTAAACTTAAAATCCACTATCAAAAACAATACCAACACATGGAAGGACCCTGTTTCAACCCCAGAGCAAAACCTGGCAAGCATATAGCTCTGAAAGAAATAAACAAGAGCAGGAGGAGACAAGCAATATGATCTTTATTTGCAAGAGCGCTCTCGTGAAGTCCAGTGAACAATCTGTTCTTCCTCTAACAGTCATTACGGAACTGTAATAACGCCAGACTTCACAAGCCACTTTACCTTCCAGATATCCAGCAGGAATAAACTGCACAGATGGATCTGAACAACATCTTACAAGGCTCATTACTTAAAGACCCAGTCACGCTTTGTTTGCCAAGATAAGCATGTTGGTTGGTCTATTTTCCAAGGCATTTTGAGTTATTCCTGTTGATTTAAGAAGTGCTGTAATTTGCATTAGCAGATGAGGCCATGTAGAGTTAAAGTCTCATTACAGCAGGTTTTGCTATACCCCACATGAGCAATATCTTTTTTTTGTTGCAGAAACCCTCCAATATTAATTACAATTCTAACAATGTACAAAACTCACATAATATATAGTTTATACCCTTTCATGGTTGTTTATTTTCCAGTGATATACCTTTAAAATGTACCTAACAGCCTTCTTGTCTTCACTAGACAGCTCAGCTAATCGTATTCTTTACCTCTCTGTGTTAGATGCTTTTTTTATCATTATTACTGATAATTATTCAAATAACAGAGTTGTGATTGTAAATTAACTATACATCATTTCACTTGAAAAGAACATAGTTGGAAATTGTATTCACCATCTGGTGGAAAAAAAGCAAGCATCATCATAGATGTATCAGTTGGTAAACTGCAGGAGCAAAGGCTTTGGGTTAAATGATCAGAGTCGCCTGTAAACACTGCCCGAAGGACTGATGAAGGAGGGCATTCAACGGCAGTGAAGATTAGTGCAAAACAGCTTTGGATTTGTTTCTGTCAGGAACAGTTCTTTCCGGGCCCTATGCGGACGACACGATCCGGAAGGTGAAGAAACAATAGGGAAAAATATCATGCAGGAGTGGGTCAGGAGACAGGGGGGCGTGTCCGAGGTGAGCAGGTATCCAGGAGAAGTGAGTCCAGGGCAAATAATCCAAGCATAAATCCGACAGGGAAATCCAGAATAGGAGGCAGTGTCCAAGACCAGGGGATCCATCCAAAGTAATTAAAAACCAGAACCGGGTCTGGACCAGCGGGACAGGGAATCAGGAACAGGAAACTAAAACCATAACGGAGCCAGACGCAGCAGGACCCCGGGCTCTCACGAAACGGGATTCAATGAGAAGCGCCGGGCAAATGCCTGCGTCTGGCTTTAAAGGTGGAACTAAAGAGGGGCTGGAATGAGGAACAGGTGTGGGGAATGGGACAGAACGAGGAAGGGCTGGAGCGCCCTTAAGAGGAGGAGTAACGATCGTGACAGTTTCATAATGAGCAGAGTTTTAGTGTTATTAACTGGGAAACAAAATCAGGCAAAGGCAAGTTTAAAGGAATATCATGTGACAAAGAATAAAGCCACAAAACACAGTACACTACATATTATACAATGAAATGTACAGTATTGGAGCAGCAAATACATAGGTTTACCTGGGGCTATGCTAATTAAGCATGCTGTTGTCTATTTCAAGAAACAAACTGTAGTAGTGCTGCCTGTACACTATTCAAACATTAATTATTCATTAATGCCTAGAATGTACAGAATCATTGTCTCTCCATCCTGTGTGAACCATTTTCTACCTTTTATTAAAATTTTATTTTTTGACTTTTGACACCTTCTGTTGTTCACATCTTGCACAAAATGATACCAAAGAACACATTTGTGTTGCACTTGTGATTAGATGCATACTGTATATATATTTCCTGTAAACTAGTAAAGTTAAATATATAGAGCTGCTTCGTGTACTATATTATATCAAGACCTCTGAATATTTCATGTTACAGTATATACAGTACATTGCTAAACAATGAAATGCTTCATTTTGACTTTTATTTTTTTAAGTAACTGTGTCTAATTTAAAGGTGTGTGACTTTGTTTTACCATTAAATTTCAAGCATATAACAGTATAAACATAATCTATTAACTCATTTTAAAAATCCTACAGTGTGCTTTTTAATGTAGTCACTAACATAACATCTACCCTTTTAAGTTTACTTATTACCATCTCTATACCCCCAGAAGACTGAATTCTGGTTTTACTTAAATTTAGATTTGCCAGTTTTACCAATTTGCAGAAGAGCGTGTACGTTACGTATCCACAAAATGGATCAAAATGTTCTACAGTTGAAGATATTTTTGACTCCCTGAAATGCACGATTCCTTGAACCTTTATTCTGCTTTATGAATATTATATAGGACATTCTACGAACCATTTCCATGTCTCCTGCAATAAATTCTGAGTTTACTGGCTAAAAAGGCT